CACAATTAGTTGTGAAACAAGTCCTGTAATTCAACTGTTATAATTATTAATCAGTCTAGAATGAACTGCTTTTGTTTAAAACGTTTTGAATTTGTTACTGAACCTTCAGTATGTGATGATAGTGTATGTGAAAAAATGAAAGCCAGTATGTCAGACAGTTAGAATGTGTAATTTTCAAAAGAATACAGGTTGGTGTAATCAGTAAAAAACTACTTCAGAAAATAATGCTTAAGACAGTGTCTGTTTAAAAAACCAGTTATTGTAAAAATAAGTATTAGACGGGCTACGTAGAATGATATGATGACTTAGATTACCTGAGTTAAAAATGACCAAGTCTGTTATGTGTTCCATTCATCTTTATGCAGGTCCGTAGAAATTTACTAAAATGTTAATTAAACTTACTAGTTAAGACATTTTTAGTTAATAATAAATAATATTTACAAACAACCTTTAAAACAAATGATTTAAAGCTAAATCGAATATTTTTAACAACATTATCTACTTAAATAACGTTTAGGTCACCAACTTGAAAATAATAATGTATATCTAAATTTTGTCATAAGACCTGACGACAGCAAGCAAAACAAACCGATTTCAATGGCTCGAGTATATTTAATAAAGACTATAGTGAAAAATGGTGCTCACAGTGTCTATCCTATTCTATGAAGCGATCAATAGTCTAGAAGAAATAACGACTGTACATGCAACGGTTAACTCAATCTTTTTAAACTCAATTTAAATCTAAAAGTTTTTATACTGATCATCGTTTGTAATGTATGTAGCATGAAGAGTGTGACTTGGTGACTCTGATTTCAGATAACAATAAAAGTGAACTTAATAGCGTATAACCATTACAAAAGTCAAAATTTATCTGGATGTAAAGTCACATTCTCATGAGAAATGTATTAACTAATCATCCAGACTAGAATTTGTGAAAAAATATAGTCCTTTACTTACTCTCCAAATTTACCTTAATAACTGAGAAACGATTAAATGATGAAAGATCTGAGAACTGCAACTTAAATATTGCCTACCTAATTGACAACTGACTAGCGTACAAGGTTATTTTCCGAAAAATATTTAAATCTATCTACTTAGTCTATTCTCTTAATTCCATCAGTCAAAATTCCCCCTCTACCCAGCACTCTTAAATCAATAATGCTCAACTTATGGTCCGACCATAAATGACCATCTTTGATTGAACACGCAGAAAACATCTATATCTCTTAATTTTATAAACTAGAATCCATAGTCAAAGAGTAATTATGAAAAGACCACCGTTAAATTTATCCTTACATTGGTTAAATGACAAAACTTTGACTACACTACTGGTGTCAAAGGTTGTTTAAATTCAAGTGAACGCAGTGCACAGTCCCTAAGATTTAGTTGGGAACCAAACCGATAGTGCAATTGACATTTTCAAAATAAATAAATGAATCACCGTACGCTGATAGCTATAGAAGGGTAAGAAGTGTTCACACAATGGTGAGTCATTACCACAGGAAGACAGAGACTGTACATTAGAGCCAGGTGGGAAGGTATGAGTCTCCTGATTGAGGTCCTTTGAATATATTTAGTTTTTATTCATTTTGTGATTACCAATGGCTTAATTTGTCAGTCTAGATTAGCATAACAAAATTAAAATAGCAAATGGGGTCGAACTAATGCAGTAGCGATGGTAAGAGGAAAGACCAACCGCTTGCAATATGATTTGAAAAGACCGAGTTGAAACGTATGCATAAATGAATATGGAGATAAAAAATTGTGATGATAACAAACAACGAGTGCATCTTCATTATTATGAACGGCCGTTAATTACGTCAATTACAGTTTCCAACCACTGATCACGGTCATTGCACAGATTTAAATCAAGTTGTTTCCATTTGACAACATTGCTCACATCAACAGTTGTGGTCTTCATGGACTAATGTCAACGTTTTGGTTTGGCTGATCCTAAAGTTCGTCTACTCTCTCCTGTACTAGAAAACACCTCATCAATATATTCGAAACCCAAGGATGGCTTATTTGGTGGCCCTAAATTACACGAGGAATACTTCAGAAAAACCTGTTGTCAAATACTAGTGACCTACAAATGTCCATTATACTTAATGACCATGTTTCAAACCGATTAACTGAAACTGAACAAACTACTGAGCAGTAAACTCGTCCCTTGCTTGAAAGGCAGCTATCTCACTGGCTTGACGGATGATTCAAGTTAACAAGCAGCAACGGTTTTTTATTTCGTATCAAAATTCCACAGATGATAATTCTCTTACGCTGATCAGACCTCCAAAATAAGCGAAGCGGTCGATTCACCAAATTATTTTGCTCCTTATGCTAAGTTAAAGGGTTGGTGAAGACTACATAGGAAGCAATTATTACATGTAAATGCAAAGAAAAACATCTCAAGCATAACAGTATTGTTGCTCAAAGCGATCCCAAGCCTATGCATTCTTTTTAGCCTCCCTACCAAACAGAATTATATCACCAATGTATTCTTATTCTATGAGTGAACTTCTGGGTAGGTGAAAAAACTTTGAAAAACTGGGCAAAGAAAGTTATTTTTCAGTAAGATATCAATGAACTAAAGGTTTGGATAGCACGTAACTGTAGAAAAAACGCCGCTTGAGTTTGAAAGTTTTGGAAACAGCTGGCCATGTGATCCGACCTAACCAATAGCATCAAGGTGGAGATCCTACACGATGTTCATTAATTTATTTGGTAGGCCTTTCAAATGAAAACACTTCCATAAAACCCCTTGGTCAATAGAGTTCAAATCCTCGCAAAAGAGAAAGTATTCGTTTTTTTTATCAACCAGTTTCTCCATATTTTTACGTAAAATATTACATTTGCTCCTCTGGTTTCCTAACATGAGTAAACTGCCTAAGTCAGCCAGTGCATTTATACCTGTGAACTACTAACCTTTTGGATGTTTTAGATACATCAAGTTGAGTAATATAGCATTCAGTACTTAGAAGTTACTGGTGTGAAAGTTGTCTCAATGCTTTTTGATACGAAGCTTTTCATCAAAAAAGACTAAATATATATGTAAGACATTTCATGGCTTTACATAGGATAAACTCGAGTTCGAATCCAAGTTAATATAAGAACAGATTTAAGATATAAAAGGTGAAAATAAGTCACACACAACATACTTAACAGTAGTTGTTAGTAAAAATATGACTGACCATCGAGCTTGTATGTCATTCTCTGGACAAAAATAGCGTAATAGTTATCCCTATAGATATAACGAAGAATTACGGCGGAAATTCCCTAAATTTTGAGCACTAGCATCCTATACACCTTACAAGAACAATGCTGAGAAAACCACAGGCTCAAAACGGAAGTAGTGAGTTCAGAATTTGTAAAGTATGGGTAAGTCCCTGGGCAGATGACAACGGACCTAGTTTCAATACTTCAAAGTGTAAAGTAGTTCATCTGAGACATGTTGCAGACTAAAGTTAAAACTTAGGAAGCTCCTCTGTAGAAGTATCCCAAGTTGAAAAATATTTAGGAGTGGTGGTACACTACGATTTGAAGTCTTACGCTAGCTGTGACAAAATTGCCTTCCGAGCAAACCTTGCACTGATAACATTGAGGTCCATTTTTGGCCAGTTTGACGGAAGAACTTTCCACATAATCTTTAACAGTTTTATTCGTTCCCATTTAGAGTACGGAAACATAGTATTTCTTCTTCACTTCGAAAGGATAAGGACACTCTGGAGCATATCCAACTGCGAGCCACGAAATCAGTTCATTGGCTCAAATACAAGTTCTTTAAGAGGAAACTTGACCTATTTTAAGGACTAAGGATTTACCAAATTTTTTATTATCGTTAATATACCTATATTCCTGCATGGAGGTATTGATGACTCACTGCTACCAGAAACGGAAGCCCGTCAAGCAAAAGCTTCTTCTATTCCGTTTACAACGATTTGAACCATTTTGCAATAGCGAGTTGCTTAAAAGGACAAAGCAAAATGGATGGCAAACAAACTATCCAACCACTTATAAATATTCACACACGTTTAGGTACTGCTTCGTTGCAGTTCTTTGGATACATAATAATTATTGTAATATTCTGTTACAAGGCCTTTTAGCTTAATCGAAACAAACGTTATGAGGAAGTATTTTAAAAATGCCAACTGAACTTGATGTAACAACCATTTCCATGCATAAAACTTGTTTTAAACATGCTTTTGCGGGATTATTACCTCGTCGTTAAGACAGGCGTTTGTAAGATCCAATTGAGTTATTGTCAAACTGTTTGAAATGCTGGAAAAAATGGGCTTCAGTTTTTTAAGTCCCAAAACACTGTATTTCAAGCTTAGGCTCTCGTCCTTTAAATGACGAATAAAGTATCCTGATGGCAAAGCTCCGCGTAACCTGCAATCATTTAAATATTCTAATTGATCTGGATCAGTATACCAGTGATCTATATTTTAGAAAACGTTTACTACAACAACAACTATACCTTTTGCTGACAAAAGCCTTTTGCACCTTTTTATATGTGAATTGCCTGACAACTTCGATTTTTCCTTGCTTATAAAACTATCTCTCATTGTATTGGCGAAATTTGTACTGTCACTATGATCCACAAGAACGGAAGTACTGGGAATAACAGTATTTTCATCTTTCTGCTCGACAGAATGTTCTTCTTGATTTTTTTCGTCTATCTCCATTGACATATGTATTCAAAGAAAAAAACTTCTTATGGCAGTACATAAAATGTATAAAATTTCGGCAAATCTGAGACGTGAGTCTGAAGGCGAAAACTAATAGTAAAATCAAAACTTTGACATCGGTTGCTACGACATTATTGTTTTAAACAAAATTGTATTTATTTGTTTATTAAAGAATATGTTTGACGTTTTTATTTTACTTCCATTTATTTTTTTGCATATAATTATATAACTTTACAAGTTTGGCAATTATTCAAAATATTCTGTGCATCATCCTAACATGTTTAGCTTATGGAAGCTGTTTGATGAATCGACTTAATGAAAAATAGAAGCAGTACATCAGGGGATGAAATAGAACAAGAACTTTTATGTAGCACAAGTTCGAAGAAGAGCGGTTTTGCATATGTTCGTATTAATACACCTTCGCAGCTCAAAGATGAATATGAAATTGGTCCAGTCATAGGTGAAGGTACATTCGGCATTGTTTATCATGCTTCGAGAAAAACTGATGGTGTGAACTGTGCAATTAAGAAAGTAAGTAGGGCTAAGAGCTAAACATATTGCTTGTCATTACATATATATACATGTGCTTTTGATGAATTGTAAGACATTACTTATCTTGCTTGCACCAAAACTTAAAATTAAATGACACCTGATTTTCAAAGAGTAGATGCGTAATGTTAGTTTTTGGGCGTTTCGTATGACAATTAATCAATTACTCATTTGTAAAGCATAACGGTCAACAACTACCCTGAACTAGATGTGACCATATAAATCCATACATGCGATCATAAAATCTAAAAAAATTTCGTTCGTCATTTAACAGTTCACTTTCGCGTGATAAAAAGCTAGTTTATTTCATATGCTTGTTTTTTTAAGGGGATGATACTTTTAATCAGTGAGACATTACCATTTACATAGACTTCCACAAAAATCTATATAAATTTGGAATTTTCAGAAAATTATATCTTTTATTTTAATTTGCAGTGTGACCACGCTTTCATATCTATTTATAAATCAACACCAAAACTTATTTGAAGCAAATGTGAGTAAAACAACTATTCCAGCACAAAGCACCGCATCGAAATATGACATTAAATCAAACTTACAATGCTACTAAACCTATAAACATTAACTACTTGATTTTTATTTCATGTTTACGGATGATGTTTCATAAAAATAAGTTTTCGTGTATTGAAGGCACATATGATATGTAAACACCAGCTGTTAATAAAAAGATACACTGTAGTATGAAGATCTTTTACCATATGTTGTCAAACAAATTTTCTTTACAGAAAGACATAAGAGTTTTTGACGATAATCCCTTGGCTACTTACAGAATTTTGTATAAACCCTCGTTTGTTGTTTGGGCTCGGTTAGTCCTATGTGAATCAGGGATGAAATTCAAACTTTTTTTCACAGAGCCATTAGAAAAATCGCTCTAAATGGTTCCGGTTTTCCAACTTACCACCAGTTTGGGTGACTTGTTTGTTTTATACCACATAATCAAGTGAGATAATAAAAACTATAATAAGTTTCAGCTTTTTGCATACAAGTGAAGCCAATTTCCATCAAACGGGAACTGTGCAACCGTCACTGTGACAGCACCACAAATTTTTCACCATTAGTAAGATTACCTAGTAAACGACATGAGTTTTAGGTTTGACATAAATCTTACACTGCTTAATATCAACCATTATCGAGTTTTATTATAATGAAACTGAACTTCTGACTACTTGTAAGGAAAAGTCTTTCGAATTTGGACGACTTTGGAAGTTAAATTACATCACCCAACCACTGGTGGCTCATAAAGTTACTATGCATTCATCTTATTTCTCAACTAAGTATTTTTTTCTGGTTCGTCTCTTGAAAGCTATTCTGGAGAATGAATGTTAGTTGAATAGATAGTTTCAGAACTTGTCAGCACAGTATTCTGACTTCATCTAACTTAACTTGCACTTGAATAAGTAACATTATGTTCTATTACTAGCAAATTGTTTAGTTAAAGGTGGTTGTTTGTTCCAGTTTATAGTATACACTAATGTAAAACCTAGTGTCTCATACTCAGCATATGACTTTTTTTGTTTACCTTCTTTGTTTTGCCTAGACTGATTAGAATATTTTATGAGATATGTATAATAGTACCTAATAAAAAAACTTGTTAATTTCCAGCTCCAATTTTAAACAATAAATAAACTACTACTAGCTGAATGTACATATCATCGACTATTTTAACTGAATTTGTGTAGAAGTAATGTGGAATGGTCTATTAATGGAGATTTCTAAAAATGGATAAAAAATGCAGTGTAGACTCCTGTAAATACTTTTCGAATATTTAAACAGCTTAGAAAAATGCACTAAAACTTAACCGAAGACTTTAAATGTAATAACTAAAAGTCTTTCTCAGCAGTGCCGACAGACTCACTCTCGTTCTTTTAGATCTTGAATTTCAACATTCCTTCGTTTACATCTTACCATCTCGTCATATTATTGCTTAATCTACTTCATTGTCGTTGCCACTATGTTTTTTATTTTCCTTTTGTTTTGTGTTTTGTTGACTTTATCTAGTGCTAATGACTTACAGGGACTTAAGCATAATGTTTCGAATTATTTGAATTATAGTACGAACTAAGAGTCCCAAATATAACGCAATTAAATCAAGAAGTACTAGATAAGCACAAATGAATGTATTGTATTTAGAATTCGAAATCAAGCATTCAACAAGTACAAAGATATCATTAGTTCATTTAAACATCACATCCGCCACAGCTTAAGTTGGTGTCTAGGTGTCTGTAATTGATTGTACATCTTCTTCTCAAGTTCATCCTGTGTCTGTCCGACATTGTATTGGATAAAAACTCTGTAGTATCTAGAATGTGCTCATTAGTATTGGAATTAACAAACGAAATCGGAACAGATTCACCTGGAATTGTATATAATCAGCATGTTGGTTTTGTACTGAAATCATTAATATCTAGAATTTGAATCATAGATTTTTCAACACTATCCTCCCCCACGAAATAATGTTAGATCTTCATATCCTCAAGTTATGAATAATGTCGCTTCATTTAAAACATATTTCTCACATTGGTTACAGTAAACATTAGAAGTATTTTTTTGTGATAAGGATAAACAGCATTTGATATGAAATCATCCGAATTGTAATCAAAATCGAGGTCATTTAGTACTCGTGCTTCGCATTGAACAAGTTTCCCACAAGAAACAAATGCATTATGAGGACAAATAATATTTGATAGAACATCACGATTTGATTCTTCTGAAATAGTTTCCTCAAATTTATTAAGAATGTCATTGTAAAGTAAAGGATCGTTAGAAAAATCAGCATCCATCAAAACTACATTAGGTTTTCGATCATAATTATGTTCACTCAACATATTTTCTTCAGATTTGTAAGAAATTTCATCAGAAATATGTGAATTACTAGGAAAAGCCATATTTGGTACAATAACATGAGAATTCTGATAAGTCAAATGATTAGAAACCGTTGTCTCACAAGGATTCTGAGTTCCATTTAACTCCTAACTGCTATATAACTCTACACTGTCTTTTAAAATCGCTGATAAAGATAAATGGTCATTATGAATACTCGACTCAGTAAAATCAGAATTACAAGATTTAATATTAGTTTCAGTAAGATTAACATTAGTATTACAGACTGGCTGAGTACGTCCAATATTACCACATTTAAAGCACTTAGAATTACGAAATTTACATGAATTAAAAGAGTGGAACTTGCCACAAGACAAACATTGATCAGACTTATGCCCATCTTCATGAAATGCATCGCAACTCCTCAATCAATTATCTGCATAGCTTTGAGTATGCACTGGGTTGGGATGACGTAGTAATGTAGTGGAATTTTTTATATCCTCATCAATCACTTTAAAAAATCTTCCTTTATTGCGTTCGAGATTTGTATACTTAACATAGTCTAGCAGTAGTTCCTTGAGAGTTGTATAAGGAAGCGGGATAGGCTTTTCCGGCATAGTCAGAGTTCTTAATAAGCTATATGCTTGTTTTCCGATGAGTGTGAGAAAATGTGCCACAATATTAACATCCTCAGCATCTTCCTTGGTCATAGCTCAGATTTCGAACCTTTCAAAGTAATCCCCAAAAGCATCAAAATCTAAAGGTATATTCAACCGTTCCATCACAGGATCCTGCTTGCGACGCTAATATAATGTTTCGAATTATTCGAATTATAGTACGAACTAAGAGTCCCAGAAATAACTTAATTGAATCAAGAAGTACTAGGTAAGCACAAACGAATGTATTGTATTTAGAATTCGAAATCAAGCATTCAACAAGTACAAAGATATCATTAGTTCATTTAAACACCACATTAAGTCAACCTATATCTATGTCAGGCTCTCTGTTTATAATGATTGAATCAACATCATACATCATCAAATACTTTTCTATTGTCAAGCAAATTCACCATTTTGGCATACAGTAATATTAATAGTCATGATTACTACTCACGATTTGATTCATTTATTTGTTAAATAAACAAGTAAACTTATGGCTGTTTGTTATAACGTTTATAATTTAGACTTCAGAATAATCAACACATCACTGATTTGTGTGGGAATGAGTATGTATTCGATTACATATCCCTGTTTATCAGTGATTCGGTACTATATATCTGATTTGCAAGTATAATTAGTTTATTTTCAGTTTAGTGTGAACATGCGTGCTTTTATTCATTAATTATTACCTATGGTGCAAAGTTTACTTAAAAGAAATCTCATAACTTTAGTCATTTGCTCCATTTGTTTGATTATGAATATAACCGCTTGCTATGACTACGCATATAACTGACCTAATTATTATGTAGTGTTTTTTCTGTACACCATGTCAGTGAGAAATTATTTTGAACAAACTTGTCATGTGATGGTCATTTGGAGTTTGTTTGCTTAGTTTGTTCTTACAGATTCAGTCAATCAGTTTTATTTAGCGTGGAACCTGATTTATCTCCATCGGTTCAAGATGCTTAGTAAATTTAAAGATTAATTTTCTTAATGAGTAAAAGTAGGTCAAATACTTTATATTATACCGGAATTTTATCATTAAGAAGCAGTTAACTTCATTCGACTCACCTCAACTAGATAAGTACTCAAAACTGAAGAGCACGCTGGACATCTATCTAATCATAGTATAGAACTTTTCAGCAGACCACATCTACTACCTAAATTCAAGTCAGTTCACGGTACAAATCATCTTTAGGATGAATAATCTCCACTATCCCACTGTGCGAAGTATGCGTGTTTCTGTCTCAGTCGAAATGCGATATCATCAGGTGACTGCTATATTTCTTAAATGCATAAATACAGTGGTATTCTTAAATCCATAACAACATATTGTATCAAAAACTCGACCTTTAAGCTTACATAATCATTTTCTCACTTAATGTAATCCTTCAATTACTGTTTCACTCTACAACTATTATTATTAAGGACTGAATCCATTTTAGGGAAAATGTCAATGAAAATTTTAGAGTTTTGTAATCAATCAATAAATAAAGCTTTTTAGTCCAATATTCACAAAACTGTTTCAAGTCTCTCACACAGATTAATTTGTGAGTGGTGTATTCATATAAGTTTATCTCTTTTTATCTCTTAATTTCAGATAATTAAAAAAATAACAATTATTAAATGTCACATCATATAAATCAAAACAGTATTGTTTCCAATTAGATTATCATTCTTTACTTTCTAATATACAGTAATATTTCCATGTATATGTGAAATACTAAATCAATCAAAGCACTTCGTGAGTCTATGAAACAAATATATTACTTAACTGATCATATTAAGTCACAAATATAAAGTAATAATGAGATGGCAGATGTGGTAGTCATGATAATTATAATAAATAATATGAACAAATATTTTGGTAGTGGGATCAGAATTAAACTTGCTAAAATTGACTTGGATAAATTATTTTATATGAAATGTATGAGTGGCTAATCATTTAAGTATGTCAGAAATAAAAAGAGATATAAAAGAAGTGGATAGAAGAAATCGAAAAAGGGTAGACAGCATTGATAAGACTGTCCATCAGTTTTTCTTTGGCCGAACGAAAGACAAAGGTATAATAAGCTTCCTTAGAATGGAAAAATCAAGGGTTGTCTACTCGAATCTTTATAGCTTTTGCTTCCTGATAGATATGAGGACAGATCTCATTGGGAGATATTGAAGGCGTTCGATTAGTCACTTTAAGTCATGCGTGTTAAGCTAGCAACAGTTGACGGATGACAAATACGTGTAACGTCATTTCTATCACCACTTACTACCACCACGTAGTAGCACTTTTGTTTAAGAACAAACCGTCACATCCCTTTAGAAACGATGTCGTTTGTTTTTTAAATTAAAAATGGCTTCATATCTTTGACGTCATATCTTCAATTCCTTTTTTTTATTGTCATTGTAGATTTCACGCATAAACTCCTTCTCTGCAAGTGAGCGTGCTCGTTTAGATCGTGAAATATCCATATTAAGACATGTTAAACATCCTGGAATTATAAAACTCTTATCTGTTGCTGAATCACCAAAAGTTATATTCCTCATAACTGAATTATGTGAAGGCAGTTCACTAGATCATTATATGAAACAATTACCAGAAAATACTGGACTACAAGAATATATTGTGGTGGCTATTGTAAAACAAATAGCTTCAGCTTTATCTTATTTGCATAATCGAGGTATTGTACATAGAGATTTAAAACCTGGAAATATTATGTTATTAAACAAAGTAGAATTAGATTTTCGTACTATACCTCCGGTGAACTTTAAGTCAAATTTTAAATATTCATCGGACAGTAGAATAATTTCTTTCGATTCTCTTATTAAACATCAAAAACCTGAAAATGAACACATTGAACTCCATAATGACTCGTGTTCCAATCACAGTGGTACACTATCAGAAATAACAACGACGACAACAATAACAACTGAAACAATATGCTCATCTGTATTTACTCGAAATAAACCAGTGAATTCAAACACAAAACCATTGCCTGTTTGCTGTAGACATGATTCTACATTATTAGAATGTAATACAAAAACAAATCATAATTCAAACATCCAACCTAGAATCCCATCATTTCAACTTGATGATGATTATTGTATAAATGTTGAAAATAAATATCCACCTAAAGAATTACAAACGAAATTAATTGATTTTGGTTTAGCCATAGAAGTACGCAAAAGTGAAGAAGTATTAGCTAATCCATGTGGTACACTATTGTACATGGCACCGGAAGTATTGAATGGACGATCATATACACGTCAATGTGACTTATGGAGTTTAGGTGTCATTATCTTTATATTGTTAACAAATCAAACACCATTTAATTCACAAAATGAAAAACAGTTAATCAATGAATTAAATCAATCTAATATACAAAAGATAATAGAAAAATTAGGTAATTATATAACATCATTATGTAAAGAATGTTTAATACGCTTATTAACTGTTGATCCAGCTTATCGTTTAACCGCTAATCAACTTCTAATTGATCCATGGTTATCATTTTATCCAGTATATAATTCAAATGAAGTAGTGAATAATCATTTGAATGCATCTAAAAAAGAAAAAGAATATGAACAAATGAATTTATCAAAAATTTATTCACTTAATAATTTGACTGGAAATTCTATCATACCATCTTCTTGTAGTAATAGTAGCAGTAGTAATACTAATAAATGTATTTCTAGACCATCATCATTTTCTCGTTTCAAGACAACTGATACATATTCTACAACGAATGTACTTGAATTAATGAAACAATATCATAAAGAATTGAATAATTGTAAGCAAGATGTTGAAAAGGTGAATCAATGAAGATGTCTATAATTCACATCATAAATGTTAATCGATCAATTAAATGTAATGATTATTATTAAAGATTATTCAATTTATTATTATTATCATTATTATTATTGGTCTATTTAAATATTGTTTAATGCATAGAAGGATTTCTTTTTTTAAAGTTTAATTTTAGTGAATTTATTTTCAATGTCCAATGAAAATTTATTTTTTACAAAATCGATCAAATTGTAAATGACTTGTAATATAAAATTTCTATTTAAATGATTGAGTTACAATTTGTTGTCACTTTTGAATTGATTTTTAGATTTATCATAAACTAATTTATATATATATCTTTATCATGAAGGAAATTTCAATGCTGTCCCAGTTTTTTTGTTTATTTATTTATTTATTTATATATAAATTTCAATGAAACAAGAATGACAATTGTAGTAGAATATAAATGATCATTTATTCACTTCAGAATTACTCTTCAGTTGCTTACAGCTTAAATACAATCGTATTCACTATATATATGGAAAAATGTATATGTACAATTGATAAGTCTTGCGGATTGAACGCTATATTCGTCTCCTAAGCTATTCTGTAACCCCCGAGCTAGAACTAGACAACGACCTGAACATGAGAGAGAAAACTCAAAGTATGCGAGAAGTAGTTTACTCGAAGGTTCATTTTAATACAGAAATAATATTTTAATATAATATTGTAAATGTCCTTGGGTTGCTAGAAGATTCTGGAATGCTACTACCCATAGTAGCAATGTAGCAGCCAGCCAATCAGAGCCTCTGCATGTGATGTTTCACTTCCTTGATATTTTTAGCCAAAACTCCAAGTGAACGCTGATTGGATGAAACGCTTCGTAGTATTTCCTGATGCTTGCTTGTCTTTTGCAAGCAATCTTCTAGATCACCCTAATAACAATCATTATACCAGGTTTACAGAGAAGCATTAACCGAACTCAATAATAAAATATAATTAGATGAATAAAAGCCAATATCTATGAAAATAGCTAGAATCCTTTATAATTTTCTTTAAAACATTTACCTTTTAACAATAATCTATCTAACTATAATCTACCTGCTTCAGTAAACATAATAAGAAGTATGTATGCATCCTCATTTTTTTTTCTAAATAATTATTACTACTGTATTTAAGCTGTGAGCAACTGATGCATATCACTGAAATAAATCAAGTCTTTTTATTATCCTGTTACTATAGTTGTGTGTGTGTTTTTTTTGTTGTTGTTGGAATAGTTTTTAGAATGTATATATTTTAACGAATTAGATAGCGCCGTAAAATGAATTCATTCATTTACTTATTTAAAATTTATTGTAATCATAATAAGAAAGCGGTAAGTAAATGTGCTTCATTCACTCTTTAAGAATAATAACATATTGATTATTGTATTAGATATAACATAATGAAGTTTTAATTTTGTATTATCATTTATATCATTCTTAAACCTCAGATATCTCTATTATTTATACTTTTTAGCGGCGTATTTGTTTGTCGATTCATCTGTTTTTTTTATAAATTCAAAATGATTTTTTTAATGATAAAGAAAATTTTGTAGATTAAGTTAATACCCATGGTAAAAGAGTATTGTTTGGGCTTTATGGATTTGATTGTTGTATTTAAAACCATTGCTAGTGCTTACTTGAGCATTAAGACTGATTCTATTTTAAAAACTTTCAGTTTATAAACATTAAAGTTTTATAAAACATAGTAAACTGGACAGCCAATTCGTTCTAACTTAGGACTCTTGGGTTCAATCCCCATAGCAGGCTCGTGTATGCACACTGCTCAGGAGTCTCAAACTGAGACGGAATAGCTATTCAGTGCTACCTGGTTTCCTATGATACTTTAACTAAAATCAGAGAGTTCTATTAGAGGTATGAGGGAGGGAGAAAGTGGACAGCCTTGACGGACACCACTTGAGGTTGCAAAAGCAGATGACAGTTCGCCATAAGCTCTGACTCGACTGGTAGTGTTCGAGTAAAAAGCCTTCACAAGGTTTATGTACTTCTGAGGTACGCGTTTCAATGACAGACACTGCCACAGAATCTCGCGGTCTACGGAGTTAAATGCTGCTTTTAATTCAAGAAAGACCACCATTGTTGGACATTGATAAGTATGCCTGTGTTCTAGAATCTGATGAATGGTGAATATTTGGTCAATGCAACCATGACCAGGTCCGAAACCAACCTGAAGAGGGAAGTTGATTATGAATACAGTGGTTTTGAGTGCTGTTATAAGTATGAGGGCGGTTATCACTTCCCGGTTGCCCACACCGTGGAAGGGTTCTCCTGGAGGCACCTGAAAATGAGATTGGATATATTGATCACTAGAACTGACTCAGGAAAACTGGAAACTCAAGTATATAGGAAACCGACCCATACAGATCAAATTCTCAACTACAACAGCAACAACCCAAGAGCTCACAAAATCAACTGCGTACACACATTGTTCAGGAGGACGAGGACACACTGCAGCACACTGGCAGCACGAAAAAATGAAGAGAAACACCTGAAGGACATATTTCAAAAGAACGGCTACCCAATCAACTTCATCAAAAAGCACCAACGGCACACAGCATCAGAACCCAAGTCAAGCACAAAAATCAACAAAAGGATCACCCTACCGTACATAAAAGGAATATCAGAAACCGCAACGAGACTGCTGAAAAACTTCGGGATAGGTGTGGCACACAAACCAACAAATCACTACAATCAATCCTATGCAAACCAAAGGATGAAATAACAAAGGAAAACAAATCAAACATCATCTACAAAATAAATTGTACCAACTGCGACAAACACTACATCGGACAAAGCGGACGCCCCCTCCATCTACGCTTACATGAACATCAATTAGCAGTCAAACGCCATGATATCTCTTCACTTATATCAATACACGTGGATAACTACGGACACTCATTCGATTGGGAAAATGTAGAAATCTTAGACAGAGGAAACTCCAAAAATACCAGAGAATTTTTAGAAGCCTGGCACTCAGGTCAATCAGCAATCAACAAACATATTGAAATCAATCCAATTTATCAACCAATCAGGAAAATCATGCATAAATATAGGAACGAAAATCAAGCCGATAGGAGACACAACCAAAACAAAGAAGTAAACAACGATAAATTTAAGGTAAATAAGAACCAATCAACATCGAGTTGCACAGAACAAGCTTTGAAATACATATGTAGAAATTCGTACACTTCACTTCTATCTGAAGTTTGTGCTGATGATGTCGTTCAGAAGAACGATGAAAGCTCCACGACCAAACCATCCAGCTCAGAGAACAAAACTCCACCTGAGCTACAAATCTTCTCCACCATACATGAATATTCCTACGAAAATGTTAAACCAATCAAGGCAATATGGGTCAATAATCACAATGAAATAGAATAAATCACCACACATAAAATAGGTAAAATTCATGTTGATAGTAGGAAGACAGGTGAACTGATAGTGGTAAGAATAATAAAATACGATAACAAAAGTCTTATCAATAGTTAAACGTTGGAAATAGAAGGTCAAACGTGGGTAAATAGACTAGGAATAGTCAACACAAAACCTGAGTTGACCTCCTCAATGTGCATTTACAAATTCAGCTGCTCCTGTGGAGATATCTATATCGGGCGTACTACCAGGCAACTTAGCGAAGGAGTGAACATCTACCAGATTGGTTTATAAAGGGCCAGATTACAACAATTCGCAGTTCTATCTTGACTCTTTCTGTTTGTATTCTTCACTATCTGATTATTTACACACTTCTTATTACGTAATGATTTTAATGTTTTGTGTTGACTATTCCTAGTCTATTTACCCACGTTTGACCTTCTATTTCCAACGTTTAACTATTGATAAGACTTTTGTTATCGTATTTTATTATTCTTACCACTATCAGTTCACCTGTCTTCCTACTATCAACATGAATTTTACCTATTTTATGTGTGGTGATTTATTCTATTTCATTGTGATTATTGACCCATATTGCCTTGATTGGTTTAACATTTTCGTATGAATATTCATGTATATTAAAGTAAAGCCTGATGACAATATAATTGAAAACATTTCTTTAGGTCATAAAAATACAAAGAGTTATATTTAACTATTTAAAACTGTCAACGAAATATATAAGTAGAGTGGATACTTTATATCTCATAGAATAACACCCGTTATTTGTAATATTTCAAAAATATATCGGCAACAATATTTATGGTAACATTCAAAGATTCACCATCCAGCCTACTAATTTCCTTCAGTAGTCTATGTAGCAAAGCAAAATATTGTTTCTAAATTTCAAGTAAAAGCAACAGAGAACAGTATGTAATTATTAAGTAATTTAGAAGAATGAATTAATCCTAAAATGATTGTTAACTAATCCTAAAAACTTTTAGTATCTTTATATAGGAAGTTAGACAAAGTCTCTGCTTGATATTAAAAAAAACGGAAGAGTTGGCGGGTTTCGAAGTAAAACTGACAATAAAATAAATAACAGTTAATATGACTATTATTACAGAATCTCCAATAGTAATAGCTCTACAGCTTATTAGAACAAATAGCGGAAATTTAGGATTACACGACCATATCACAAGATAAAGACTAATTTTTCTCATTCATTTAACAAATTCATTAAAAAATACAATTACATGGTGGATATATGAGAAATGTTTTGACGTTACTCACAGATGGGTGTTCTGTTTTGCATTATAGAAGTTTCCATTTGACCACAGCTGATCAGCACCATAAATGTGTTTAGTCTATTTTTATTATTATTATCTGATTGTTCGACCTATGGATTACTTAGGTCAAACATTTAAGTATAGAGAATGATTATCCTTAGTCCTAAAATCATTTCAATAGATATTGAGATGTTTTAGCTGGAACTAACTAGTACTTGCATACAGTTAATAACTATGATCTAGCCTTTTTAGCTTTAAAAATAGTTTTCATCCTCGTCCACTTATGTTTAATCGTACTTTGAATAAATACACATCT